GGTTGGTGAGGGATTGGCCCAGGCTGCCCAGGGAGGTGCTGGAGTCACCAGCCCTGGAGGGGTTCAAAAAACGTGTAGAAAGTGTTGGGTTGGTGGTTGGACTTGATGATCTTCGAGGTCTTTTCCAACCTTTATGATTCTGTGATTCTGTGTATTTACTCTCCAGAGCAAGTGTGTCAGTGGAGTAGAGGTTGTCCTGCTGACCTGAAGTGAAAAGTGAAGACTCATTTGTAGTTCAGACAAGCACAGAGCTCTGCCAACATTTTTGGGGCCCATCCTGTTCTGCCAAGGGGGCGTGTTTACCCGTTTCAGGCTGCAGTGGGTGCCCATGCCAGGGGGTGCTCCTGGTGGTGAGGCTGCTTTGGAGATGGTGCTTGCTCCTGCAGAACATTCCTCAGGCAGAAAGGAGCAGCACCCTGGCCTTGTCTGTGACCTGGGGGGTCTGGTGGGTGGGTGACCCACAAGCCTCTAGCTCAGGGAGCTGTGGAGCAGCAATGGGTGGTGAGAAACATGCTGCTGGGGGAAGGTGGGGGACTGCCAGCCTGGTGAGGGTGCAGCACAGGGCCCCAGAGCTGCTGCCTGCTGCTGAGCTGAGATGCTCTGGCAGCCACGGGTTCGACAGGCCACTTTGCAGCTTCAGCCATCTGCACAGAGCCACCCAGGCAGAGGGCTCCTCCTCCCCCCTGCTTTGCATTTCAGGTGCAATTCTCTGCTCTAGCCAAGGTTTGCCACAGCAGGATTTGTAACCATTGGGCTGGGATCTAATGGGAAGAGAAAACTCATCTGCACGTGTGCCCGGGCGCATCTGCAAAGCCAGGGCTCGGCCGCCCCCGTGTCCCTGCCCTGCTCAGAGCCCTGTCCTCCTCCACCAAGGATCTCCCCCCTGGCAAGTCAGCTGAGGAGCAGCACACTCATTTCTCTCCAAGGTGGGCGGCTGGAACGAGGAGCTGAGTAACTCAGAGGCCTCAAATTAAGGAGAATGATTCACAGTACGCTGCGTGCGTTTCAGACCCGAGGTGTCTGAAATCTGAATGGGGAGGGGGCAGGGGGCACGTCAGCTCTGTTGGTCAAGCTGACAAACCTTGCACGAAGGATGCTCAAAAGGGGGGAGGAAAGGAACCGAGCAGGATTTTGGGCAAGCCATGCCCTTGTGGTGTTTGTCAAATGCACAAGCAGCAGCCTCAGCCCCAGCCTGCCCGTCCTGCCTTTGTCCTGGCCAGTCCTGGAGACAGCCTGCTGCTGGCTGAGGTCCTCAGGGTGAGATCTGGAAGAGCCATACACATGATGCACGATCCCAACAGCTGCACAATCTCCAAAGAGAAGCAGGATATGGAGAATAATTTTCCTATTTGGAAGGGATACAAAAGGAAGGATCGTGCCAAAGCAGTAAGAGTAGGTGAAGTGACTAAAAGTGAACACAGATTCCTGGAGCCTTAATAAGAAATACTGAAACAACTGTTGTGTACAGGGAAGAACTGTCCACATCAGAATTTGTTCCCCATGTGTGTGCCCTGTGTGGCTGTGCTGCTGCTGGGCATCCTTTGAGCAGTGTCAGTTTAGACTACACGAGTCGTCACCGTTCCTTTCTTCGTAGATTGTGTGGTAATAAAAGTAACTCCCCAAAATAATTGAGCATCATTTAGTACTTTTCTTCTGAGTCATAAAAAAAAAAGAACTGTGTGAATCTTTCCTCCCCTGCAAGCCTAATGTGGATGTTAACTTGGAAAGCTAATTAAATGCTGGGTGTCGTGTGATGTACATAATGCTGGTCACCCTTGGCAAGGCAGTGGAGAGAAGAGAGAAATGAAGCCTCTGAGAAAGGAGTTTGGGAGTAACAAAGATGAAAAAAGGATCAAATGGAGGAAAAAGGAAAGGGGGAAAGGAACAGAAACGATGGGGGGAACACAACTGTTGTATGAAGCTCACACTAGGTGGAGACTTGTGATGGGTAGTGCTGGGATCTGTGAGCAGTTGCACTGTCCACACAAGTGCCTCAACTCCATCTCCTGGAGCCTCAGCGCAGTGTGGAACTGGGATGGGCTTTGGTGTCCTTGGAAGAGCAAGGCACGTGGTCTTACAGAATGGAAATGAGAGGTTGGGTTGTCTGCTTGGATGTCTTGATCTGGAAAGGCTGCCTGAATTCTGTTAAGCTTTAAGGGAGCAGTTAACATCTCGTGTTCTTTAATGATAACGTGTTGACACCGTCCCTGGTTGCACAACCTTAACTCTACACTGAATGTTCTGCATGGAGTCTGTACACTGGGCAGCCTGCCACAGGGCAAGGGGGTCATTCCCATGGAGTTCCCCTGAGGAGGAGGCCCTGGGGGGGAGGAGCTGGCCAGGAGCCCCCCCCAGCCTGGGCTGCCCCCCCAGCAGCGTGGGCACAGGGCAGGGAGGGGATCCTGCCCCTCTGCCAGCTCTGGGAGACCCCCCTGCAGTGCTGGGGCAGCTCTGGAGTCCTCAGCACAGCAGAGCCAGGGACCTGCTGGAGCGGGGCCAGAGGAGCCCCAGCAATGCCCCGAGGGGGGAACCCCTCTGCTGGGAGGTCTTCTGCTGACCACTTGCCCAACTAAGAAGGATTTTATCATCAAGAGGCAAACCAGCAGCCAGAGCCCTCCCTCCACTCCTAAACCATACAGCAGTGATCCAAGGTGCCAGGCCACTGGAGGAGGAGTAAGTCAGTCCATTCACTCAGAGCACAGGGTGTGCAGAAGGGAGTGAGCTGACTCCTGAACCATGCTGGGGGAGATGGAAGGACCCAGCTCATCAGTCCAATCCCCATCATACAGTAACTGCCACGAGAGATCCTCACCCTCTTGCCCCACCATCCTGGGAGCTCCACTTGCCCTGAAGAGTCAAGGAGCCCTTTCAATAGCCAGAACCCCACACAGCACATGCACCATGTGAGCAAGCCACCCAACTGCCCTGCCAGCAGAGTCAGCTCTTACAGAGGGGGCTTCTTGCCCCACCTCCAAGTTAATGCTGAAGGTGGGGGCAGCTGGTGGTGATCTCATCATCAATCCCCACCCAAGGCTGGCCAGGCCCTGGGTGAAAACCAATCAGGAGGGTCCTTGTTGTGGGCATCATCCATATGCCAACCCTCATTCAGGGCTGGGGGTTTAACCCCAGCACTTCAGGAGGCCAGCAGGAGAGAGTTGGGGTTGTGCAGCCTGGGGAGGAGAAGGCTCTAGGGAGACCTGGTGGCCTTTCAGTACTTCAGGGGGCTTGTCAGAAAGCTGGGGACAGGCTTTTGAGCAGGGCCTGTTGGGACAGGACAAGAGATGATGGGTTGAAACTAAAAGAGGGAGATTTAGATTAGAGAGAAGGAAGAAATGTTTGACACTGAGGGTGGTGAGCCCCTGGCCCAGGCTGCCCAGAGAGGTGGTCACTGCCCCATCCCTGGAACCATCCCAGGGGAGGTTGGCCGGGGCTCTGAGCACCCTGCTCTAGCTGCAGATGTCCCTGCTCCCTGCAGGGGGTTGGACTGGGTGTCCCTGAAAGGTCCCTCCCCACCCAAACCAGTCTGTGTTTCTGTGGTTTCTGCAGGGTGCTGAAGTTTTGGCCTTTGTCTTTCTTATGGAGCAAACTCTCAACTTGTGAGCAGCTGGGACATCGCCTGCAGCACCTCCAGGTCATCAGCAGCAACAAGAAGGCTCAAAACCAGACTCAGTTCATGAGGTACGTGGAGTACACATAAAATCATGTAAATTTTTTGCTCTAGCAAAACCCAAAGCAAGGATCCTGTGTGGGCACAGCACCGTGGGGTCCTTGCTGCACCATCCCTTCCTTGCTCTGCTCCATGCTAGATCACAGGTCTTTGCTCTGCACTCTGGTTTTATTAATTATTCCTTTTGCCAGAGATACACCTTTTTCCCTAGCTGGGGAAGGGCAACCAGGGTGTTTCCTGCAGGAGCTTGGCCCACACCTCTGTGTGGTGCTTTGCTCTCACTGCTGCCACAGGCTCGTTGCTTTCACGGATGCTGCTGCTGACCACAAACCCATCACTCTGCAGCAGCACTTCCCATATGAGCAGAAAGTCCTTCACCCATTCTTTTGGGGAACCTTTCCTGCAGTATCCAACAACTCCCACAGCAGGAGCAGAGTCAGTGGAACAGAAAAAGCAACCATGCAGCACAGAGATCTGAGATACCAACAAATGCTCTGTGGCCACTGCCCCACGAGGCTCGTTCCCTGTGGCTCTCTCAGCCCACAGGAATAGACTCCCAGGGAACACTTAAAATAGATGAGCAGATTTGAAGGCCAAAAGTCACTGTGATTGTTTAATCTGATTTCCCAAATAACTCACGTCATGGAATTTCATTCAGGAGCTCTAGCAGTGAGGGGGCAGCTCAGCAGCCCTGCTGGGGCTGTGTGTGTGCCCACAAACTGTTCCATTTACTAGTGGCTCAACTAAAAGCATATAAAATAGATATTTCTTGGAAAGCCATCTGATCCAAACGTGGCTACTTCAAGTGCTGGTGCCCTTAGTACTGGTAAATCCCCCCCTGAGTATTACAAATACTCACTTTGTCTGACTTTCCTCTTTGGAGCTTCAATCCCACTGTTTGCTCCCTTACTAAAGGTTTTGTGGTGTGGCAGGCTCTGGGTAGCTCCGTGTTTGGCCACAGAAGTAGCAGCACACCAGTGGAAGCCAAAAGATCTTTACACTGTGCCCCCTCAGTAAATTGTCATGGTGTGCCTGGGACATGAAAGGTGCTGTGCAGTGAAGCTGGCAGTTCTCACTGAGACATTAAACACCATCCTTCCTCTTTCTCTAACGCTGTTTCTCTTTCTTCCTGCACGCAGGAAAGCCAACATCTTTGTCTCTCTGCTGATTGATGTGGCTCTGGGGATACTGCTGATGTCCTGGCTGTACAGGAAGAACAGAATTGGTCACCTTGCTGACACTCTCATCCCTGTGGCTGATGTAAGTCTGGCAAAGCCCTTTCTCTTTCCCCTGCTGTGAGTATTGACCAGCTCTGAGTGCTGGGGTGGGTTGTAAGGAGGCACAAGGGTTTCAGAGGGAGTTCTGGCTGCACTCATGCAGATTAGGTCTCTTCAAGAACAGCAAAATCTTCAAATCAAGCCTGCTGGGGCTGCTCAAAAGGAACAGAGCTCTGCTTTGCATGTGCAGTGAATAGCAATGAGGTGTTTACCAGAGGGCTGCTCAGATCCTAGAGTAGGAGTCATGGCTTGGACAGAGCTCTGCAGCAGCAGGTTGAGCCCCTGTTGAGACAGAATACTTGAGCTCTGGGGTCAGCAGGCAACATTCTCAAGTTGTTGCTCTGTGGAGTGTTTGGGAGAAAGGAAAAAAAGAAAGCTGGAGCCTGGGTTGAATCTGATAGACTGCTAAAAAGTCCAACTTGATAAGCAGTGCAGCTGGGCTTGTGCAGAGGCATTTTGGGGGAAAAGGCAAAGGATTAGCTGCTCAGGATCCAAACACCTGAAATCCTGTCTGAGAGCTCTGCTGCACAGCTGGGAAACAAGGGGAACTTGCTGTGTCCTGGCATTTTCTCAAGCATAACTCCTCTTGCCCACTGACAGCTCTCAACATCAGCATAAATTTGTGAAGAACAAGTATGACTCATACTATCCTGCCTCTCTGGCCTTCATTTTAGGTGCAGTACTCCCATAGATCTGCTTAGTGGCATTAAGGAACATCTAATGTACGTCAGAGGCTGGAGACCAGACCACTAATCTGAAGTTAGCTCTGTTTTAAGAGTGTCTGTGTCTTGGGAACTCATGTGCAGCCAGTGTTGAGCACTGTCATGCAGCTGCACAGCCTAATCCTCTCTCTGCCCACTTTCCTTTCATTTCTGGGAGGGAAGGTGGATCTTTCCATTGGTTTCTTTCTGGCAGCTGGAGAATGTCCTTTCCTGCAGCTTCTTGGCTGGGAAGAATTTTATTCTGATCAGAGAATTCCAGCAGCAATTTATTTTTCCTGCTTATGCTGTCTTTCCTGGGAAGAGCTTGTGGTTCCCTTGGTGATGATCTGCTTGGTCCACTAAAACCTGATCTGCACTGGCACATGTTGCCCCTTGGAGGAGACAGGAACAAAAAAAGCAGGTGTGTCACCCATCCAGGCTGTTGTGCCCAGCCCTAACCCTGGACACACATCTCGCCCTTTAATTGTTACAAGCCATAGGTCTCTGATCATTTCTGTCTGTGCTGTGCTTTCAGAAGGGGTGTGTGGAGCATCCAGCATAGCTGTGGATCCTGCTTGTTGCTAGTTTTGTTATCTTTTATAGTCAAACTTTTCAGGATTGCACGTTTTAAGGACTGCAGCAGTGGTGGGGTAGAAAGGACCACAATTTTTTCAATACACTTGCTCTTGGTTTTGAGCTGTACAGTAAAAATGTTTCTCTGAGTCCTATTCCTCAGTCTCTTCCCTTGCAGATATTTCAACTGGAGAAGTTTAGGTTCTCTGGAGCTCTCCCTGTGGGATCAGTGTGAGCGTCCAGCTCTCAGAAACGAGCTCTCCTCAGGAGCCTGGAGGCAGTGGCTCTTGGCTGGGTTCCTGGGAGCACAGGTGGCCCCGGGAGGGCTTCCATCTGCCTGCTGTCCTGGCCAGATGGACACTCCCCACGCCCCAGGTGTGTCCCATCCCAGCACCTGTCCTGCCCAGCCTGCCTTGGCAGAGTCCGCTCCTCTCGCAGGAATTTGGCTCCTCTCTCACTCCCCTTACACCTCACAGTGTCAGTCCTTTCCCCCTGTCTCCAGCCTGTGCAGACTTCATTACCCTGCTGTCTCCAGGAGCTGTTTACTGACTTTCCTGGAAGTGCTGACTCCTCCCTGTGTGGGTGGCCACTCAGTCAGGCTGTGCCTTCCTTCTCTGCTCCCCCAGGCTTATCAGTTCAGGCCACTCACAGCTCTTCTTACTTCCCAGCCTTACTTCTTTCAGGCACATTAGGTTGTGGACCTAAAATCATTTGGAGTCCTCTGACTGCCTTGGGTGGGCAGCGATTTATGTGCAGGGCTTAAAAAATGCAGATCTGAGAGATCCCAAAATACACCAATGACTTCAGCATGTGGTGTGCAAACCAGCACCACGTCTTTTCCAGTGTGACAGCAAAATCTCCCCTTAGCCATTCAGCAGTAGGTTTCCTCTTGGCTGCTGAGTGTCCATCTGGTATGCATTATTCCCATCACTTGGGCTTTCTCAAGGGCTCTCCTGTTGCCAAGTGCAGCAGCTCCAATGTTCCCACGTGCAGAACGAGGCACTTTTCCTTCCCTGATGCCCCTTGTTGTGCTGCTTCTGATGTGTGCCCCAAGTCTGAGGGTGGCATTGACCTTCCATCTCTGTATCTGTTATAACAGTATAGGTATTAGCATGATTATTCTACATTGAAAGGTTAGATTCATCATCTTCTTTTAACAGGATTGCTTTTAATACTGAACAACTAACTTTGTATAACATATAACTCTGGTTTGACTGATGGATTTTCATATTGACCAGCTTGTAGCTGTGTGGGGACTGGATTCAGGGCTCATTTTTTTTTCTCCTAACGAACATCTCCCTGGAAGGAAGCAGATGCAGGTAGGTTATTTTAGCTCCCAACAACTGCCAGGGTCACAAGCTCAGCCTGCTGACACGAGGATCAGGCTGTGTTCCCAAGCCTTCATTCGTCATCCCCTGATACAAAGGTTCTCAAATCAGCACTTAGCTGGCAATTGTTGCTGATGCACAAACCCTCAGTGACTGCAGCTCCCACCTTCACAGCTTGATGAGCTGCTCTGTGCTGACTGCAATAACAAGTTGCTTTTGTCAGTAAATGAGGCAGATGTGATTCAGAGACACCTAGGGAGTGACTGGCAATGGCTGTGTGCAATACCAAGGACTGATTTTTGAAGGGAGGCTTTCAAATCCAAGAGTGGAAAATGTGAATAATCTTTTCTCTGTAGGTGCCCTCACAACTCCTACTCTCCTTCCTCCTCTCGCTCCCACCAGGCTTCCCAATGGATGTCCTTGGTTTTGCCTTCCTTCTGTCAAAAACACCTGATTCAAAGTGCAGCATTTGCCTGTTTTAAAAAGAACTGCTTACAATCCATTGTCTCTTTTTTTTTTCCTCCCTCACCTCTTTTCATCCTCACTGATGTCTCTTTTTCGTAAGCTGTAATCTCTTTGAAACAGTGAAATATTTATCATAGAGAGTGCCTCTCAAAATATTCCCAGGGCTTAGAGGCAATTGGATGTGAGTTCCTATTCAGTCACCTTTTGCTAATCCAGAGACAAAGCAAGCAGAGAGGTCAGCTCCTGGAAAATATCCTTAGGTGCTCGTTTGTAAAAGAGTAAAACTTAGAGCCCTGAACATCTGCAACAGGCACAGGGCAAATGTGTCTGGAGGGGGAGACTTTGGCTCTGCTGGCTCTGGCTTGCACTGGATGCTCTGCTCAGAGGTTTGCCCTGTGCTCCTGGTGCCCACCTGCATGTGGGCACCTGTCCTTCCCCATGGATGTCACATCCCCATGACACCTTCTGCACATGGAGGCTGGAAAGAAGAGCATGACAGCAAGGAAAATATTTCCCCAGTGACCTCATCTAAATCGTGACCACTTCAGGCTCCATTTTGGCCATGCCCCTCCCCCCTTGATTGAACACTTCCAGTTCACTGTGCCTTCCTTATTAACATTGGTCACGTTCAGTATTCATGACTGCAACAGGAGAACTGGGCTCCCAGTCACCTTCTCTCATTCTCCTTGCAATCCATCAGTCCTAAAATACCTGGCAGGAAAACGACCTGCAGGGTGATGCCTTCAGAATGTGCTGGAACAGCCTTGCCCAGCTAGATGCCAACAAGGGGCACCTTCCCAGGGCTGCCTGCCCCTCTCCAGATTCAGGAGCACCTCTGGGACTGGCAGCCTCCAGAAGTGTTCAGTGCTGACAAACTGCCTTGCTGAAGGACTGCTTTCAAGCACTTAAATATTTCATTAAAATCCCCAAATGCTTTTTCTAAGTTACCCGTCCAAGGCTTTAAATATTAAACCCAGTCTATTTATAAAGCAGCTAACGTTTGTCAGCCAGAGAGGTAAGATCCATGGGTTCCCATCAGTTCTGCCTTGCAAGGAGGCAGAGGGAGAATTAACAAAATAAAAAGGCAATCTTTTTTTGGAGAAGTTGAAGATGGAGCCCTTAATTTTGCCACTGCACGAAGACTGAATGTTTACAAACTCATTTTGCAAGGATCTTGTTGGTTGGTAAATAAGATGGAATCGTTCCTTGGAAGTAATTTTTCCTTAGGGAAATTATCTGTATGAGTGATGGGGAAAGTAGGCTGCAGCTTCAGGGAGCATGTCTCAATACTCCTACGTGTGCACCACTTGCAGTGCAATTCACTTGCAGGGACTTGGCTGTGAGACTTTCAGAGGCTTTGACCACAATTTCTGGCTCACCTTGGAAGGTGAGGGGTCACTTCTTCCAGGTGCATCCCCCACCTCTTTGCTGGAGGTTCCCACTCGCAGCCCTCTCATTTCACAGCCTGGTGAATGGACTTCCTGGCTGGTTTCAGCCTAGGGGAATAGGTCAGGTGCAGGCTCCTGAGGAGCAGCAGAGCCACCCCATCTTCTGCCCTGAGACCACAAGGGGCACCTCTGGCAGAGTGGTGGGCTGGAGAGAGAAGAGTAGGAAATAACCTCAGCCTGGCATTAAAACACCAGAAACTGCAAGTCAAAGCCCTCAGAGATTTGGGGGTGAGCTCCATTAAGCCTTTTCTCCATGATTCAGAGGGTTTCTGTTTCACTGGGGTGCTGTGGGTGTCTCTCCATGAAGCCTGCAGAGATACACAGGAGTGGCAGGCAAGATCAGTGCTATACAGCCTGATTAGTCTTGCCTAGTGCACCACAGAGTATCAGGAAAGTGGTTTTATGTGTGAAATACATTTCTATAACTGTGGTTCCTACCCTGCTGGAAACACAGGGAGGTTATCTGGAAACTCACGGGTTGTGCCCATGAGTGCAATGCCATCTTCCCCTATTTCAAATCCTGCCAGCCTTCCCCAGAGTTAGATTGCTCGCTCAGTTCTGGCTTTTCAGTTGAGTGTCCAGAGAAGGTGATGAGTGCAGCAGCCTGGAGAGCTCTCCTGACACCAGGGAGTCCCTCTGGGCAAGGCTCCCAACACTACCCAAACACTGCGGCCTTGTTCCCAGCCCTGAGACCATCCAGGCAGCTCAGGTCCCTCTCTGCTGCTAGGTTTGGATTCAGGAGAGTCAATAAAGGTGCGTTTCTGATTTCACAAGTTGTCTGTGAAGCCATTATTTGGATTTTCTCTTTTTCCATTGCCCTGCAGGGTGTGGTGAGGATCCTGTGGGGGTGGCAGCGTGCGTGGCACGCTGGAGCTGGGCAGCTTTGATCTCGGGTGCTTTGCTTCCTTGTGTTTGCAGCACGTAGCTGAAGAGCTCCAGGACCTGCTCCAGTGGCTAATGGGAGCACCAGCTGGGCTGAAGATGAACCGAGCCCTGGATCAGGTTTTGGGCCGCTTCTTCCTTTACCACATCCATCTTTGGATTAGTAAGTGCCATTGTTTAAGTGTTCAGCCTCCCTTTTCATCTCGTCCCTCCTGAGAGCTTCATGTTTGCCTCGAGGTGAATAATGAATCGAAATGCTCTGGTGCAAGTTCAGGCTTGTCTGTGAGTCTTCCTGCTGTGGGAACTGGGGCCAAAGTTGGATTCCCACACAAGGAAGTCATGCATGTGAGGCAAAGTGCTTGTGCTGGTGCTGTGCGAGAGGCACGGGTCCCAGCAGAGCTGACTGACCTGCTGCTGGTGGTGCTGAGTGTCCAAGGGAAGGCTTCAGCTCTTGGCAGGCAGCTGATGGGATGGGGATGAGAAGGATGCTCTCAGAATGCAGATCCAACCCTGTCCTATCACTGCCTTCAGCTTAGTCCAATGTTATTATTTCAACACACCCCTACTCTCCTTGATAAGCATCTGAATGAAGGAGTGTGGTCATGGTGGACATGAGCTCCCTAGTTATTATACTGATTTACTTTGCTCACCAATCAAGTATCATCTTGTTTCTGTGACTTTCCTCCATTTCAGTGGTGAAAGAGGCTGTGTGCTCCACACTGTTTTAGTGGCCAAAGCTGGGGGTGATGGTTTGTGTGGGAGGAGCAAGGAAAAGGGGAATGGTTGCAGTAAAGCTTGATGCATGCAGTTCAACATGTCATAGGGGACCTGGCCACAAGTGTAGGGCAGCAGATCACATGTGGAGCAAGGTGACTGCTCTGTTCCAGCTAAGCATGTCCTCCCTGTCCTCACAGAAACCTGGGGACAAGGAGAGAGGGGAATGGTTGCAGTAAAACTTGATGCATGCAGTTCAACATGTAGTGGGGGACCTGGCCACAAGTGTAGGGCAGCAGATCACGTGTGGAGCAAGGTGACTGCTCTGTTCCAGCTAAGCATGTCCTCCTCATCCTCACAGAGCTCCACACCTGGACAGAAACCTGGGGGCAAGGAGAGGTTTTGTTGGCCCTTCTAAACAGAAGATGGCATCTAAAGGAGTTTTTCAGTTTTACTCCTGTGTTTTTGTGGCTGTGAGTTCTGGAGCAATGTTCTAGGGTGTGGAGAATAATTTTTTCCTTTTTTTTTCAGCAGGAAGATGTCCCACTCAAATGCTGACACTCTGCAATGTCCCCTAGGCTACATTCACCTGATGTCCCCCTTCATTGAGATGATCCTCTGGTACGTTGGTCTGTCAGCTTGCCTGGGCCTGACTGTGGCTCTCTGCATCCTCTCTGACATCCTTGCACTCCTGACCTTCCACATCTACTGCTTCTATGTCTATGGAGCCAGGTGAGTTGACCTCTCTGGGTGTGTTGGAGGGAAAGGCCACTGAAGGCTCAGGCCTTGTTTGTGGAGCATTCAATCCTGGTGTGGTTCTCCTGAGTTCACAGTTTAGCCAGCAATCAATTTGTCACACTCTTTAATGCACAAAGAAATGATGGCCACAGTAGTACAAGGAACCTATCTCACAATTCTCCTGTGTTTAAACACTTTATTGTGGTAGTGACCTGGAAAAATAAAACTGCATGACAGGCAGAGGACAGGAAAGCAGTTGAGCCCATCCCTTTCATTCAACCTTGTAGTACTCCCTTCAGCTGCAGCCTATCCAGTAGTTTTGGGGGAAACTGCATGAGAGGAGGAGAAGAGGGGAACCCTTGTACTTCTGGAGAGGCCCCAAAGGCCTCTGCCTTGCTTCAGAGGTTCCTGTCTCCATTGTGGAGAACAGATGGCCCATTTGGGGTTAGAGCATGGTTTTGACACCAACCTGGTGTCGTTGTCTGGGCCTGCTGGAGAGCTCCATGTCCTGAGAGCTGGGCAGAAGAGGCTCTCAGGGAGTGCAGAAGCTTTGGGGCATGTCTGGGGCATGTTGGGGTTATTGTGCAAGTGGTGCCCATCACTCTGCTCTGTTCCTGCCCTCCATTAACACGTGCTGCAGCAGGGAGTCACACAGGCCACTGGAGAATAGCTGCTCTGGCCAAAGAGGTGAGAGACAAGGTAATAAATAAAGGAACTTTGGGCTTATGAAGCACAGAATGCTCATTGTTCCTCCCCAGGCTGTGAGCAGAGGCCTTTACATTGCAAACCAAGAAGAAATAGTAGCACTTGAGTTGTGGGTGGTGTAGGGAGGGATTAGAACTATCTCAATATGATTTATGAATCAGGGCTGTTGTCAGCACGGGGCTTACACCCAAGGTCAGCAGTGCCAGTAATGGGGAGCCTCTTCCCAACACCTCTAATTCCTGCAATGCCTGGTTTGCTCTGTGAGGAGTGGCCTTGCTCCTCCTAATCCTGCAGGGAGTGAAAATAGGAAAAGCATTTTCTCAGCCAGTTGCTTCTCCCTCGTGGGCTGCAGGGAGCCAGGCCACCCAGCCCTGCTGCTGGAAGTGTGGAGCAGCTCTGGGGTGTCTTGCCACTGGCACCCAACTGCCCCTGCTGTGCCAGGTGCCCCCTGTGGGGATTTGGGGGGGGGACAGCAGTCCCCACATCAGCACAGCCACCACAGCACCCGTGGTCCTGCAGCTGGCAGGAGGATTTGCTGGCTGAGGTGCTGGGGAAGACCAAGATCCCCTTCTGAAACCAAGTGCCCTGTGAAAGGAGAGCAGACGTGTGTGCAGGCAGGTGGGGCAGGGGGGTGGGTGGGTGCCCCAGCAGGAACACCAGCCTGGTGCCAGGCCAGGGCATGCCTCAGGGCAGGTGTGTACCAGCAACCTGGAGGAGTTGTCCTGGGCACCCTCCTGCCTAAGGATGAGTGCACCAGGCTGTGCCCTGGGGCACCCTGCCAATTCCTTGAAGTGGCTGGTGTTCCTCCAAACCAGGTTCTTCTCTGGGATAAGACTCTGCCTCTGCTTTCACAATGCTGCCTTGAAACCTGAGCAGCCTCCACACCTTAACAAGCTGGTTAACCAGCCTGGCTTTTGTAGCTCATGCTTCCTCAGGCCCCATTCTGCCCCACAGACTGGCTGTGTTCCCTTTCTTTACATCCCTGCAGGATGGACACTGCTGCCCAGGGCTCTTGGTGCCTCTTCTCCATCTTTTTCTTCCTTGATGTTATTCTGGAATGTGATTTCCCACCCCTTATCACCCCAAGCTTCTCTCACCACTGCCATTTGACCAGAGGGAAGTAACTCCAAGTGTCATAGCACCACATTATGAAATCCTCAGGAAAGGTTGCAGTGGGCCACCAGCCATTTCGTTGATCTCTTCCCACTCTTAAGGATGTTTGAAGCTGTGATTTGCTCAGGAGGGCACAGGGGCTCCAGGCCTCTCCCTCATCTCTGTGCTGCAGAGGCAAAACTGAATTGACTCAAGTGTGAGGGGAGAGACCTCGGCCACTGCTGGCATGGCAGGGCTGTGAAGCAAGGGCCACAGGGCAGCTCAGAGCTGGAGGGATGGTGCTGGGCTCGGGGCAATAAGCTGGCTGCTGCTTTGGCACTGGTGGCGTGGGGCTGGCAACTGCTGCTGCTGAGAGGAGCCCCCCTCCAGCAGCACTTGCCACTTCCCATATGCCATCCTCGCCTCCAGAGGAGCAGAAGTGGAGAGCCTTGCTGCAGCCCGGGGCATGGCATGGCCATTGCCCTCCAGAGGTCCAGAGCTGCCTGCGTTGCCCGTGCCAGGGGCCAGCCCAAATGGAGCTGACTGAGCAAGTGGAATGTTATCTGTTTGATCTCTGGGGTTGGGTTCTTTCGCCACCCCGAGGCCCGCGGCGCCGCTGAGCGAGTGGGTGCAGGGGGTGGTGCTGGCAGCTGCGTGGTGCTGGAGCTCAGGGGCTCCCAGCTCTGATGCCCAGCTCTGATGCCCAGCTCTGATGCCCAGCCTCTTCTCTTTGCTCAGGCTCTACTGCCTGAAGATCTACGGGCTGTCCTCCCTCTGGCGCCTCTTCCGAGGGAAGAAGTGGAACGTCCTCCGGCAGCGGGTGGATTCCTGCTCCTATGACTTGGACCAGGTAGAGCTGCAGGGCACTGCCCAGGGGCAGTGTGGTCCCATCCTGCTTCAGCTGACACTGAGACAAGCACCACGTGAGGCTTTATAGAGCCATCTATGGGTTGGGTTGGAAGGGACCTTAAAGATCATCTGGTTCCACCCCCCCTGCCACGGGCAGGGACACCTCCCACTACACCAGGTTGCTCAAAGCCCCATCCAGCCTGGTCTTCCACATTTCCAGTTTTCTTGCTACAAGTTCCAAAACACTCATGATTTTACCAGAATGTTCCTCCCCTCTGAACACTCTGAGCTGTTGCACTTTGCTTATTGCTCGTTACTTGGCAATTAATCATCATCCACCAGTCCCCTGAGCTAACGAATGCCAATGGCCCTTCCTCCCTCTTGCCCACAGGTCAGCGTGTGACCAGCACTGGTTTAAAATGTGGCACCACACAAGCCACTGTGAAGAAAATAAACTCCATCCCAGACAGACCCAGCACATCTTCATATGTATCTTCCCAATTCCTCAAGACATTCATGAGTTTCTAACCCATATCAAGCTCCACTTCCTCAGATTCTGATCTGTTTTGGCAGGGGACTTTGGAGCCCTGGTGGCTCGGTGGTTGGACTTGATGATCTTGGAGGTCCCTTCCAACCTAAATGATTCTATGATTCCTTTTTTAATGACTTGTTAATGGCCTTGTGGTGCCCCAGCACCCTGCATCCGTGGCTTACCAAGCAAATCCTTGCACCCTGTTGTTCAGGGGGCCTCATTCTGGCGAGTGCTGAGCTGCTGCCAGGCACCCTGCTGATCTGCAGGCTGATCTGCATGGGGTGCTGCAGCCTCTCACAGCTCCTGCAGCCTGGAAATGGGGATGGGGGAGGGAGGTGCTTTCAGAAGTGGTGCCCAGCAGTGTTGCCACAGTAACAGCCATGCCAGCGTTTCTATTAAAAGGCCCCTTCTCATTCACGTTGGGCTGGAGCCTGGCCCACACGCTCTCACTCCAGCAGCAGTTTTTTTGCCAGGAGCTGTGAGCTCCTCTGAATTTCTGCAGTGCCACTCTGGGGTTCCGCAGAGCCTGACCCGCCCCACACCAGCCCCTGCAGCCTCACTGGAACAGTGCATGAACCCCTGGGGTGACTCCCAGGGCTCCTGCCTGCCCCCCTCTTGCCAGGGACAACCTGGAGCTTCCTGCCCCACGGTGGAGGAGCTGCATTTCTGTGCCCTTGGTGATTAAAAGCCTCTGTGGCAGGAAGACTGTTTGCAGCAGGGCTCGGTCCCTGTGTACTTTGAGAATTGGTTTGGCACTTCAGGCTTCATCCTGCTCCTCTGGAGGCCAGTGGGAATTGTGTCGTTGGCCTGGGTGGAAAGAGACATTCAAAGCAGACCTTAAAAGACTTTTGGAGATGTTAAGCAACTGCAGTGAAGTGACAGAGAAGGGGGAAACAACTGCTGTGAAGAGAAGGGCTTGGGTTGTGGTCTATTTCTGGCTACGTGCACGAAGCTGGGATGTTGATGCACCTCTGTGACACAGCTCTCTGGGTTATTTTCTTTCATAATACACCACGGCTGTGATCTCTTTTTGCAGAAATGGCAGTGTCCTGGGCTCCTGGGGCCTCTCTGCTCTGCAAGTGGGGACTGAAAATTGAAGAGTCAGATCCCTATTTGTCATAAATCTGCATTTCTCCCAGTTGGAATTACCCACTGGACTGGGCCAGAGTAAAAATAACTTTCTGTGGGCAGTGGAGCTAATGACACCTGCTTTCCTACAGATTTTGCTCCTTCATACTCTGAATATTGCTCCCCCCACCCCAATAACTCCAACTTATTTCTCTCTTCCCCTTTGCCCACTTAGAAAGAGGCAGAAGTCCTGTGGCTGGACTGACCAGGTGCTGCTGCTGGGAATGATTTTTGTCCAAAAAAAACAGGTTCTGTCAGCTTGTCACCAGGTGCCTGCTCTGCTAAAACAAGGAACAACAGAAATACGTCTCAATTTTCTACAAAATTCCCACTTCTTTGTACCCTTCCACATTGTGCTGGTAAAAACTGACCAACGGCTCTAAAGCTTATGGGGACAGGGAGTGGACAAATGGCATGATCATGTGTGTTTTGTTTCTAAGGAAGCTGGCCTGAAAGAGGAAATCTTGAGTAGTGTCTATAAAGGAAAAAATGCTGCCAGGCTCCAGCTTATTTATCTTTCCAAACATACTCCTATAATAGGGAGACTTCTAAATACACCCAGTGGGAGAAGCACTGAAAATATCCAAGGTAACAGCATAAGGAGTAAAAAAACACATTAAGGAGTCTTGCAAACTTTCATTGTCTTTCAGTTTCCCAATCTTTTATTTTGCCATTGCTCTGCTAATGATTGTTTCTTTTTTCCTCTAGTTATTTATTGGCACTCTGCTGTTTACAATTCTGCTGTTCCTCCTTCCTACAACAGCACTGTATTATTTGGTGTTTACCCTGGTAAGATTTAACTCTTGCTAATCGTATACTGAGATATGAAAAATGTGTTTCCTAGCCATTTGCTGTCATCCACAAAGAAAACAGAGATTGTTTGGGTGTCCCAGGAAGGATTCTCACACAGCCTATGTAGGCCAAGCAAGTGGAATTCAGGATACGAGTTTGTGTTTCCCCAGAGGGAATTCTGAGCAAGTCCCAGTCCGTGGGACAAGCTGTTCCCCTCCCTTTTAGTGGGAAGTCATTTTTTAACCTTTCCATCCCAGGTCTGGAGTGACAGCCTCTCTAGTTTGGTCCAGAACTTTTTTTCCAGGACATTAACCTGCTGTGTTCAGTGCCTTCAGGCAGCCTTTGCTCAGGGGGTTGGACTTCTTTATTTGTCTTTTCTTCCCCCACTATGACCACTACACTCTGAGGCCTGCCTGGAGCAAAATTTTCCACAGGCAGCAGCCATCCCATGGTTCCAACACCTTCTTTGAGCCTTCTCTGTTCAGATGAGCTTGGCAGCACAAATAACTGCAGCCTGACCAAAGGAGGTGCTTTAATCAGGGGACAGAAAACACTGGGCAGGAAGCTCATTCCTCGCTGCCTTGTACTTGCCTAGATGCTCTACATGGGGTTTCTTCAGGCAAAAATAAGCTACTTGAGTTCACTGTGGGAGAGAGAAAAATTTACATTCCCTGGTAGCAAAGGAGTTTGCTAGAACTGGAAGCTTGAATGCTCCCTGCCAGACTGTGGCTGCTGGAAGTGGAATAGCTCCAACGTCCTCACAGGTCGCAGCCTCTACAGCCACAGGAGCTTCATTCCAGGTGCATCCTTCAGTGAAGATAGCCACAGACCTCACACAGGGTCTGGATGCCCAGCACTTCTAGACATCCAACCCCCTTTGGGAAGCTTTAGCTTAGCACAGGAGGTCAGGTTGCAGAGCAGCTCATGGATCTGCTGCTCCTGAGAGGTTTCCTTACGCCGCTGTTTCTTTGTAGCTCCGGTTGCTGGTGGTGGTTGTGCAGGGCCTGATACACTTGCTGGTCGACCTGATCGACTCTCTGCCTCTCTATTCACTCATCCTTCGACTCTGCAGATCCTACAGGCTTGCAGGTAAGTCCTTCAGCACTGCACAGGCAGAAGTTCAAGGGGTTTGCATTATGCATTTAATTCTGATGCAGTGAGGGGGGGACAGGAAAGAGCCCAAGGCTCAAGTCATGCAGTTGTCTGTGCTGTTAACCAATGCCTGCAAGGGGCAGGATGAGGAGATCCATGGAAAGAAATTTGATCAAGAAAAGCAGGAAAGCAGAATCAGGAACACCTCTACAAAGCCTGTGGCAACAAAAAGTGACATCCAAACAAGCACCATATAAATGAGTTCATCTTTTGATTCCAGTTCTGGAGTACCAGGTCAGGTAAAACTTCCCAGAGTTAAACAAGCTGTTATCTTTGGGGCTTTGGGCTCTAGAACAAGCCTAACTACAAAAAATACTTGGAAAATTTGCTGGTTTATAGGGCTGGATCTATAGTGGCTGTGAATCAGTGGAACTGCTTCAGTTCTGTGCTGACTGGACGGACTCAAGTCCTGAGCTGAACTATTTGGATTAATTTCAAAGCTCCAGGCAGCTTTCAGATAATTGTTCTCTTTCTGAGACTAATCTGTCACCAATTTGAAACTCATCATTGTTTTTCCACTTTTGGTAACCAGCAGTCATGGCTGGCACCAGAGTAAAGGGTCATTTTGGAAGGGGTTTAACTCTCAGCATCTATGGTTAGTCATTAAAATCAAGCATATCTAACTTATTTTCTTCCTCCCA